TGAATTTTTGATGAAAGACAAGGAAAGCATAAACGTAAGTATAAAATATTACGATAATATAATTTTTAAAATAAAAAATGAATAGCTTTTATGCTTTATTAAATTTTAAAGAAGAAGAATCAATTGATACAATATTACAATTTCTTTTATTTACAATTTTATTGCATGCATTGTATATATATATATATATAAAATCTTTAAAAGATTTTTTTATGCTAAAGAATTAAATTTTAGCAAATAGAAAAAAAATTAAATCGTTCTTTTTTTTTTTTTTTTAAGTTTCTCATAAACTACAAGGATTTATTTTTAAAAATTTTAAAATAGAATATCATCAATCAAGAAATATACAGGTTGTTAATATATTCGTAGAACAGAGCTAGAGGCCAAAACTAACACAAAGATTAATATACAAAAATATCGGTCAAGGTTTATTTATTAAGTTATAAACAATTTAAGTTTGAATTGGATGAAGTGAGGTAGAGACGGAGTGATCTTACGCTATCTTCGTTTTACTTCGTCTAACGCAAATTTCAATTGCGGTGTATTTATAACTTATTGACCAAATAATATACCAACTTTTGCGTTTGTTTTGGACTCTAAAATGGATCATCTCTAAAAATGTTCCATGAATATGTTAACATCTTGTACGAGGAATATATAAAATTTTAGTTTCATGTAAAATTGAGAAAGAAAATAAATAAAAGAAAATTGATTTTAGGTTTAAAAAAAAAATACGCGTTCGTGACAATACTTAAATTCAATAACTAAATATTCATATATATTAAAATATAAAGTGAGGATAAGATCTTAAAAAATTAATTTAAATCTTTAGAAATCGATGATAAGATTTATATTTTAATTAGATATTATTTCAAACATTTGCACTTTGACTTTACGGCATTCTCTTTTATACGGAATGAGAAGGGGATAAAAGTGAGAATTCGGGAAGCACTTACCACTGGACAATAAACTTCCACCCACCGCAACCACTATTTCCATCTCAGTTATATGCTTGAACATATCCTTCTCTTTCCTTTCTCCTTATTTACAATCGTTTAAGCGATTTTTCCTCATACCAAAGTCTTTAGATCATCCTGTAACGTTTTCTTTTTTATTTAAATAGTCCAATCTTTTATCTATCAGCCCAATTTTGATCTCTTTGAGAGCAACATTGTTCCCGTCAAAATTTCGAAACAAAGAATCGAGCCAAATTAAAGCGTAAACTTTTACGCACTTTTCTGTTATCCCTCTGTCCATTGACAAAAAGATACAACATTGTCTCGTTAGTATCTTTATTGTGTCGTTTTTAACTTCCTCAACGTTTCTAACGACACGTCGTTAAAGAAAAAAAGGAAAAGAAAAAGTTATATAGCCCGTGTCTTTCTCCGCGGAACGCAGTACCTTAATAAAACCGCTTAAAAATATGGCGAGTGAAAAAGAAAGAAGAAAAGGGACCAATGGATAAAAAAGGAATTGAAGTCTTAAAAGGAATCCGACTATGGTATTCCTAGCGTTTCGCAACTGCAAAGAAGTGGAAAGGGAGAAGCGGCAAAAAGAAGAAAGATTTCACGTGTATCATTGCACTAAGTAAAGTAATGAAAACGAATCGTAAAGTTACGGGGACAAATTTGTGGAGAAGAACGGAACTCGAAGTATGTCGCGTACGTACCGTGTAATATTATATCGTGGTATCAATTATAAATGTTAAAAGACTTCGATTTGTAATAATCGGCAAGATATTTTGCTGTTTCAATTAATTGGATAGATTTTAAACAGGCGTTTAATTTTATACTTTTACTTATGAAAAATTTTAGAAAACTAAACGTGCCTGACACTTTTTATTACCTCCCTTTTTACATTATTTCTTTATAATTTGTTGTTACGTAACAAATGACAATTTTGAATATTAAACTATTTCAATTTATCAGCAGGATCACACCATTTTTTATTTTCTATTTCGTATACAGAATTGATTTTTATTAAGAAAAATCATACATTTATACTTTTTTACGTAGATTCATATATAATCGAGACCGGATATTGAAATTTAATAAAAATAGAAAGAAATTTTTCACTACGATTTGGTTCCAATTTCACTCCGAGTTAAAATTATATTCCATCCCAGCCACTTGTATCACCCCTATATACTTTAATCACTCTATAGAATCACGAGAAACGGAGAACAAGTCCCACTAAATAACAGCGGCCATACGTCAAAATTTGAGTATTTTATGAGCCGCAACGGTCGACCGGGTTCCAAAGAAAGACACGCGATTTTCTGAACGCAGAAGCTTCCTGGAAGGACCGCGGGATTGTTAGACGGAAGACGGTGGTTAACGCGTACCCTGCTTCACATATTTATTTTCGGCATCTTTATGCACGATCACGAATTGGTTTTAAGGATCCACTCGTTGGACACGGTCAGGGCTATCGAACGTACACGGATGCAGATTAAGACAGGTCTTTATGAAGAGGGCATTCGAAACGTCTACGAAAATCTTTCGAGGCGTCTATCCGACAGGGATACGGGGTCGGTCTTTATCGCCGCGATGCTTTTCCAACCGTAAGTACGTTATACGTCGACGAGACTCGTTTTACGACCTGGCCAAGTTTTAGTGCCGAACGAGGTTCCGCTTCGCTAGGATTTTCTGACTTTAACCTTTACTCCATTCCTTCCCTGTGGATATTTACGCGGATGCCGCCGATCTACGGGGCTGAACCATTGTGCGAATATGATTCGTCAAGGTTTATAAAAAATCGGGAATGAATGGATTACTCGTTACGGATGGACGCGTGGAAATGTTGCATCGATCATCGATAAAAGGAGATCGAAGATGAATGGTGATTTCTTTTATCTTTGTTGAATTATTGTCCTTTTCTTTTTTTTTTTTTTAAATTTTGTGACTCTCTCTTTTATTACGTTTGTATGAAAAGATAGTTAATAGATAGTACTTTTGGAATTTTTGTGATTTTTAAAAATGTAATTATTTTGAAGTTTTATCCGAACGAGATATATTCATTTATTCAAAATTTTTATTTCTTTTTTTTTTTTATTATGCATACAAAATTTTATTTGTTGCTATTAGGTTCTGCATTTTTTCTTAATAATGTTATTTCATAAAAGAAATAATGGAAACAATTTCATGTTTTATGAAGCATAAAAAAATGATTCATGGATGTAAATAATCAAGCATTCAATTAAAATGTTTCATAAAAAACGGAAGTTCCGATATTAATTAAGAGTAGAAAACAGTGGAAACGAGTAATTAATCGAGTTACACATGGAAATAGCTTTCGAAGCAGAATATTACTCGATGAATTCATTTCTCTTTATGAGATCTTTACATACAAATCGAAATTAATATTATCGCGAATACTGCTGATTTTAATCAATTTTCTCCTACAAATTATTGCAAAATTATTTAAGAGTTATTAAAATTCTTTCTTAATTCAACCATTCAACTCCAAGACTATAAAATTACGAAACATAATATATATTACAAGCATTATTCTTTAATATTCTTAATTTTAATTTATTATAATTCATCTTTTTATACAATTAAAAATCTCAATTACTTACAAAATCATCAACAGAAGGTATATCCAACTCGACTCGGTCAGATCTTCTTGCCTTTTCGCGCCATTAAGATATAAAAACACGGATAAAAGAAAGAGAATCTTGCGCAAATGGAACCCAAATGCATATCCCGATAATACGTATATCCCATAATCTATATCTTATATCTCATCCATCGATGTGCGATGCACCTTGAAGGAGGAACCATCGTGTCTAGACTTCCGAAAAAGTCAGCAACGACCCTCTGCCGCCTTGGTGGAACAGGAAACCGGGTCTGGCCGGGTGAATGGCGGGTGGGTGCTCGTATGAAAACTAAGTCCGGGTTTCATTTGACTGGCTTTACGAGGGAGACATAAAATGGATTTTACTGTCGGCTAGTTCGCCAGTTCTCGAGTTGGTAACATTGCTTTAGCGAGCATAATACAGCCCCTTGCCTTCCCTCTCTTTCACCTCCTGTTCTTCCTCTTTCGTCACTTCTCCTCTTCTTCCCTTTCTCTTCCGGTTTCGCTATTCTTTTTTTCCTCTCCTCTTCATCACGACGTTTCGTTGTCGTTCAAACGCACGCGTTTTTCTCCTCTTTCCCTCCCCCTCGCCCCTTTCTCGTCCTTTCTCCTCCCCATTCTCTGTCTCTTCCTTTCTGACTGTTTTCATCAGTCAGAGGGTCCTTAAAGTCATGACAAGTTTCCGCTGGAAATTTTTCGAGCATGAGAAATGTCTCCGCCGGTGGATTTAATATCCGTTGGATAAGACGGCGTGCTGGTCGTTAAGCTACCTTTGGATCCGCTTCCTGTTCTGTTTTGGAAACGGTTGCACAGCCCTTGCGAATCGTCTCTTTCTCGGTTAACGGACGCCATTAAACGCCTCGTCTTTAATCCTATTCATAGTCATTTGATATTTTGATATTGAAAACTTATAGATATATTAATTTATGCATCTTCTTTTTTTTTTATTCTATTCCATTGTTTTTTGTTGTTTCTTCTAACAATATAGAAAATATATCGATGTTATTAAAAAAACCATTTATATTAAATTGTATTTTTTTCATTCGAGAGTTAATTTCGAAAATTTTCCACGTATGAACAATTGTAACTCTCTGGATTAAACTTTTACGAATGTATTTTGCGTTTTTCGAACATCTTTGGTTTTACAATTGCGAAAAGATTTTTATTATTTTAAGAATAAACTTTTGATTGGAGATCAAGAAACGACAAATCCGATAATCACGATATTAGATTACGATCGTTTATATACAAAATAATAAAAAATAATATATACTTGTTCGCACAATAATTTATTTACTAATATTGTTAATGAATTAAAAAATGAATGAATCAATAACAAGCGAAAAATATTTTGAGAAGAATTCTTCTTTTAAAATGTAATACAGTTGATTAACTCCAGCTGAACCTTTTTCTGATTCCAGATCGATTATTCGACCATTCAATGAGGTAAAACATACGGAAGAACAGGTCAAACCCAAAGAGAAATGATTATATCGAAGAAAGAAAGAAAAAGAAGAAGAAGCGGAAGGCCCAGAAAAAGAGAATAACGGGGAAGAAGTTTCGTTACGGAACGTTCTACGTTCCATTTCTGATCATCATTCTCTTGAAACATCACTTCTTTCCTCGAAACTTGGGTGGCGCGAAATTAAAATTAAATTTAAAATTGACCGTGACGTTTTATACATTTTTTGGAAAAAGTATTACGTTCCTCGATTACTCTTGTACCGTTACTTGTGACGAAATCGATACTTGATGACTATTGTGACCAGTTTACCTGTTAAATCGAAAACAATCAAGTTGTTAGATCGAAACGATTAAACGTGATTTCTCACTAACGTTTCTAAAAATGTTTTTGAGAAAATGTTGAATGCACGATTACGAAAGAACATGTGTCGTTCACGGCCGATTCACAAAGAGATAGGGAAGATCGATGCTCCATCAATGTGAAAATAACAGTGTTGCGATTCAAACACCGTGTTCCGAACACAAAAGGAATCCGCCGGTTTAAAAAAAAAACGAGAGGAAGGAAGAGAGAAAGATACAAAGTGCATTGTGTTCTACAGCCTTCCTTCAGTCTTGTTCCTCCTCCTCCTCTTCTTCTTCTTCTTCTTCTTTTTTTTTCCTAGACTCACCAAGAGAAGAACAACAGAAACATGAAAGTTTTTTGCGAGTGGATCGTGGGATACCGAGGTTCATGGACAACGTGTACCTCGGGCATCCCTCGTCCTTGCACGTCCTTCGGTTCGCTGATCGAATCTGCCACCTTCACTTGTTCCTTCTCTCCTTCTTCCTTTTTTCCTCATCCTCTCTCGTTCCTCTTCGCGGTCTCCTCCTTTTTGTCTATTTTCATCCTTCAATTTGTTCCTTTCATTAAATACATTTCCTCTTTCGCTCTTCTCTCCTCCTTCTCTTCCTTTTTTCTTTTAGTAATATTCTCTCTCTTCTCTCTCTCTCTCTCTCTCTCTTTTTCTCTCTCCCCCGATTTCGCAACGCGTTGTTAAAGCACGAAACGAGAGATTCAAGATAGAACTCGTTCGTAAAGAATACGATATCCGACCAGTTGCTTAATCGCACGTGAACGAGATCGCTCAACAATCTTTTCGAGTATCGTCGTGTGTTGTAAACCTGGCCGATGTATAACCGCCGACGGCTCTTTTCGGCTGAGCTACTTTGAAAACCCTTAGTCATGTTCAATTTTGCTCTCGTGGTTTTTGCTCCTTTCTAAAGGAACGTGATTCCAGTCTGTCTGCGGTGAGGATGACAAGCGCGTCGATGATCACGCTTCTCTTCTTTGTTATACGTGTAGAGGAAACGCGATTTCGTGGAATCCCTATTATTAATTTGTAACATGGCATTTCGAGGCATAAGGGAAGACCCTCTCGAGACTAATTTCGTATAATAATTCTTGATACCGTGCGACGAGCTGGTTCACGCGTATTCAGATGAGCCACGATCGTGGGAACGTGTGATGCGAATAGGACACGTTGGAGGATGATAACGCGAATAACGACGTCGAGGAAAATGAGATCGATCGAGAAATTTCATCGAATTTCATCATTTTAGATGCGTGCGCGAATGTACGGGCACGTGTGTAAATCATGTATACATATATGTGTAGTGTACGTGTCTCGGAAGAAGTCGTGTGAAAAAAACGCAGGTTATTTCTATTGGTTATTTCGAACAGATCGACATCAATTAAAATTGGAACTTCTATCGATCGACAAGTCTCGCAAGTTTCTGTAAGTAAAATCGTCCGTCCCCCGCGACTTCTTGCAAAGCGTTACGCAGTAGGCATATTAAGATAATCATTTTTTTGAGCGAATTCTCTTGCCGTGTCGACACATTGTGACATTTATTCGATTTATTATTCAACGAGCAACGAACCCGTCGACACATCTTGAATTAGTTGTATTCCTCAGAGTAATACGCTACACCGAACGAGAGAATTCAAATAATTGATCGAACTGTTTTAGATCCGTCGATATTGAACACGATTGTTGGAATAACTTCACCAGTTCCTTCGCTCGATTCCATGTACACGAACTCTTGTTGCATTGACTCGAGCAAGTTTCGAATGGATCCCCGCGAAACTGGTTCAATTAACACTGACCAGAACTTATCGTTCTTGCCAATCGTTACGTTATTAAATGTTACAGATCACACATGTGTTGTATCGCGAAATAATAGACCCATAATGTTGCACCCATAATGCAATTAATTGTATATCTATAATATTTGCACTTGTGCAAACGTGTGTCGTAAAATGCACGCGTGAAATGCAAAAAGATCTTAATTGCAGAACGTAAGGAAGACGTAAAACAGAGAAATGTTTGTTTAGAAAACTGGCCATTTCATCCTCTGACAAATTAATTTTCAAACAAGAAAACCGAGGTTTGTATCTTTACGCTATTTCATTTTAACTTTATTCTCTTCTGTCGCCTGATTTTCCTTCTTCTTTCTCCTCAGAGACATCATGGTCTCTCCTTCGTTCTCTCCCAATCTTCGCCTCTTCTTTTCTCGTCCGCTTTGCTTTCTTTTCTCCCTCTTTTTTCTTTCTTTTTCTTTTCTTTCTTTTTTCTTTTTTAATTCGTATGAACACCTTCCAAGCAAAACTCCAATATCGAAACACGATTGATTGTTACTTAAGATATTCTGTAACGAGCATGCAACCACTAGTGTGCAACATCAGCCTGCATTTCATTTGCACGCCATTGGCTGCCCCCTTCTTTTTGTATCCACAAAAACATACCAATTTGGTTACGTGAAGAAATTGCACTCTTCTTGTTCATGATTATTGAGAAAACGGAAGTTGATCTTCGGTATATTTTGACCAAACGAAATAGCTGCATACCGTGCGCGAATACAGGCGAATGATGAGGCGATTAATGATCGCGATTGCGAGAATCGATACGCGATACGCGTGCATCTACGTGTAAAATTATGCCACGAACCAATCAAGAAAGTTGTTTCGTGACTGTTCTAAGGGAAATGACACGCATGGTGCACGCTCGAGAACAAAATCCCGCCTTCTCATGCGAGTAATTTATGGGTAGGGCGATTCGCTGCTCAAATGATATGGCAGATCGAATGGAAACCGATAAAGATATTCGAGAAATGTCTTTATTTGATCATTTTTTTTTTACGCGAGAATTAATACTAGGGATGAGATACTCGAGCCACCAAATTTCGAAGCCTCGAAACTTTTTATTATAAAACTTTTTGTGACTCGAAACTCAGGTGAAGAAGGTAATTTGCATAATGATAAACTTAATTTATGAAAATTTTTTGTAAGGAAAATTTAACTTTCTACGAAACCAACGAAATAATCACAAATAATCACAAATTGTTGGCTGTTGGCTGATTATGAATCTGAGTTTCGAGGATTGTAGAAATCAAAATTTGTTACAATTTTAATTTTTGACGGAAAGGGGAAAAAAAAGACGTGTAAATATTCAAATGGAAATTGTGGAAGACTCCATCTCTAATTAATGAATGAAGAAATTATTGGCGTGCGCAAGATGCAATCGAAGAATTGTAAGGCGATCGATTTGTAAGGCGTCGGTGTTATTAAGTTTTTTTAAGTTGCTTGTTGGCAATTATAAGTTTTCAGAATAATTATTCTAATGTAAAAAGAATTCTGTGTGATAGGATGATTATTAAACAGAGCACTGTTTGGAAGGTCGAGTACAGAGATTCCTCTAATAAATCTTATGTGATTCTGAATCCTTGAGATGACTGTATTACGACAGCATTGAGTCCTATAGATAAGAAAATAATTAAAAAAGTTACGAAGATGATTATTTTGTGATAAGAAAGTGTATGTAGGTTAACTTTTTTTTCTTTTTCTTTTTTCTTTTTTCTTTTTTTTTTTTTTTATTGTAGATAATATTTTCTATTTTCGTTTAAAACGAATCTACGTGAAGCTTAAATAAAAATGTTTATAAATATTTGGGATGAAAATATAATTCTTTGCAAGAACTTTAAATTGCATAAAAATTTCTCGTTCGAAATTCGTCTAATTTGCAAATATAATTTGTTCAGAAAAAAAAAAAAAGAAAAATAAATTCAATAACTGAGATGAATTTTATTATACTTGAATGCATATTATAAAAATTATTATTGTCCAGTAAACTTTTTCTTCTAATTAAAAGAAATTCTTATTATCGTAATCTATTAATTTTGAATTCCAAGGAATATACTATAAGCTTTCGATTCGTTTTCGTTCGAGAACTTACCACGTAAAATTACACAATGTCGATTTATTTCCGCATGTTCCACTTCAACTCTCTCACAGCATACGTTTCTCAAGAAAAATTATGGATATAATATGTAATGCTTCGCGCGATATAGTTCATATGCCATTTCGTCACCTGCAAAGCTTTTAATGTCAGTTATATAATAACATGTCAGATGTTTCATACATACTATCGAACAGTTAAGTTTGTATTATTTATCGCATACGATCGTGGCAAAATATAGGATGAGCCAATATCCTGTAATTTTGTACTTCCGACATAGGCATAAAATCTTTAATTTCAATGGGAAACTTTTTTAGGTGCAATTGCAGATGCGAGAAAAGGGAATGATTCGTTCAAATTTCGTTAAAATTCGTTAAAATGTTAAATTGGAGAAGAAGAGGGTAAATAAATGTAGAAAGATATTTACCGGAAGTGCGCTTCGTGTCTATGCTTCCGTTGAAAAATTTGCATGAATGATCGATAAAAAATTTATGTAATTAATACGATACGTTGGAAATAATATGGAAAAAAAAAATATATTGGATTATATGGAGGGATCTGCAGACTGAAAATAAAGATGGAGGTTTTAATTAAATATATTTACGTTGCAAAGGATATTATTTAATGCTATATATATATATATATATATATATAG